GCTTAAAAAAATAAAACACCAGCGAAAAAACTTGACACAGAGGAACTTAAAAGCCTATTGCCAACTAGCGTTTTGGACATGTTATTGCAGAGCAATAGACAAACAGCTCGCAGAAGTATAAATGCATGCCAACGCGCATTGCATGCGCTGTGGATCACGCCGATCACTCAACGCAGAAATATAAATCAGGCTTTAGGAGAGAACCCAGACTTCCCTCTTCCCAGACACTTCCTCCAGCCCATCGGGGTGTACATAGTCCCTGCTGCGTGTCCTGGGTCTTCCCTGAGGCCAGGACATGCCTGGAACACCTCCCTAGGTAGGCACCCAGGAGGCTTCCGAAACAGATGCCCGAGTCACCTCAGCTGACTTCTCTCTATATGGAGGAGCAGCGACTCTACTTCGTGCTCCTCCTGGCTGAAAGAGCTCCTTACCCTAAAAGGGTGCACCCTGCCAATCTGTGATGGAAACAAATTTTGGCTGCTTGTTATCGAGATCTTGTCCTTTCAGCCATGACCCAAGCTCACGACTATAGGTGAGAGTGGTAATGTAGATTGACCGGTAAATAAAGAGCTTTGACTGACTGCTGCATTTACTGCTGCGGCTGCACCAATCCATCTGTCAATCTCTCGTTCCATCCTTCCCTCACTTGTGAACAAAACCCCGAAGACACTTGAACTCCTCCAACCTGGAGATGGCAAACCACTTTTTTTCTGTGGAGCACCATGGCCTCGGACTTGGAGGTGCTGATTGTCATCCCAGCCGTGTCATACTCGTCAACAAACCACCCCAGTGCATGCTGAAGGTCAGTTTGATGAAGCCAGACATCCTAAGTCTCCTGGAAGGTCCGGGAGTCTCCAGCAAGTGCATAGATAACAAATGATAATCTCCCGGAAATCGCACGTCTCCCTCATGGTCCTCAAATACGTTGCACCCCCCCCCCCCATCCCTTCCACCCACCGCATCACTCCATCCAATCTATTGTTACACTGAAAATTTAAGGGTAAAAATGAATACTGTACCCACAGCTAAGGATTCTCAGGTGTTTTACTTTTATTTATACTTTCAAATGTGCGGTGCCCAAGAGAGCTTGACGTGCTGCTATTTTAGAAAATCCTCAAAATGCATACACATTACAGAAAGCAAACAAATTAATATAACGCTGCATTTTCTCGCAACGCTTGCAAAAAGAACAGAACAGAGGACCCAAAAACACGATGGATGCCACTGTGCTGTGACTATCGCTCAGTAAAGTTGTAGTTGTTTTTTGTTGGTTTATTTTAACATCCTGATTCCCGTGTCTTTAGTATTTATTAGACTAAATAAGCATAACCTAAATAGCCAGGTCCGTTCTGTGCTATTTGAAAGTGTTTTTTAAAAATGTGTTTTCGTTGTAAGGATTTGTGTGCACTCAAACTGATGAAGATATTTTCTCAGTTTACTATATGATTCATTTATTCTTTGCCATGATAACAGTAAATAATATTATATTTTTCAAGACTCTTTCATACAGTTTAAAGTAACGTTTAAAGGCTTAACTATGGCAATTAGGTTAACTAGGCAGGTTAGGGTAATTAGGCAAGTTATTGTATTGTATATATTAAAATGTTTATTAAAAAATTGAGACTGCTCTTATTCTAGCGGAAATAAAACAAATAAGACTTTCTCAAAAAGAAAAAATATTATCAGACATACTGTGAAAATTTTCTTGCTTTGTTAAACATTATTAGGGAAATAATAAAAAAGAAAAAAATTCAAAGAGATTTTATAGTTTTGATTTTATTTCATTTCTTGTCTGCTTAGTCCCTTTATTAATCCGGGTTCGCCACAGCGGAATGAACCGCCAACTTACCTAACAAGTTTTTACGAGCGAATGCCCTTCCAGGTAAAGTTTTGATTTCAACTATTAAAACAACAACCCAGTATAATAACAGTTAAAGTATGACCAAACCAGCCAACATAAGTTCAAACAACTAAAACTACTAATCAAATTAAGTTTTTTTACTTTTTTGTTAAACTTTTCAACATCGTAAGTAACATAGTAAGATTACAGTAGTTCTCATAATGCAATTTGATAGTGTAAATAAATGCAAAACACATAAATAACACAATATGGGAAACTGCTAATTAATGGATGTTCTAACACTGTGTAATATTCATTATTTACTAATTATCATTAGAATAGTTTTTTTGTAATTTATTGGGGATTATAAGCTCCCATTCACATCTGCCATCTTATCAATAATGAATCAATGAATTTCACTATACGGATGAAAAGTAATTGGGATAATTTTGTTTTATTGTGCCCTAAAATGTCAAATATAATGCAGTCAACAAAACAAAAGTTAGATTTCGTTTTATTCTATTCTCATTTACATCCTATAATCTAATGAGCTAGCAGTAGTTTCCAGTATCTAAAGCCTTTGATCTGGTTTAATCCTGACAACCAATTTCATGTACTTCAGACTATATGATGGAACCTGCAATAGAACGATCTATAATTTCCTGTGGTAACTTTCAAATTGCTTTTTAGTGACGTCAATTGTGCATGAGCTCAATGAGGAAGAGTTTGACTTTTCCCTATAAACTGATATTCGGTCAATTGAGCAAATAGCATATCCCTAAAATGGGTCAGATGAGTAAATGTTATGATACATCTATTGGATAGATATTTGAAAACACTGAAATGAGGGATGTAAAACAATGACCTCAGATTGAGCAGTCAAAATAACAAGGATTTTGATTATAATATACTGCATGACACAGTAATGCTCAGGGCAAATCCACAGATAGTGTGGCTGGACTAAGCAATCAGTCTTTTTTAGGAGAAAATACAGTACCAACTTCTTTCTTCAACACTTTGTATGGTTTAAAGAGGTATGCTGTCTGCCTGGACAGTATTAGAAGTCAATCTTAAATGCTCATATAACCTGCTGACCAGCACTCTTCAACACAATGGACCCTCGACAAAATCACTTTGTTGTCTGAAGAGAATGAACTAGGCTACATTTTTTTAAAATGATGGCCAATGTGGGCCAGTAGAACATCCTTCATTAAAGCAGTGAAAAAAGCAGATTAAATTGCTCAACATAACAACAACTTGGGGCAAATAATAAAGTATTAAGGCTACATTTGAAAGCTTTAAAATGCTGCCTTCGGAGGCAGCATTCCAAAGCAGGAAGGCATCTAGGCACATACAAATCCAAATTTTTCTCAGGTACCTTGTTCTGATTGAATTTTGAAGACAGCATCCGTTTGTATACTCACCAGCCACTTTAGGTACACCTGTCCAACTGCTTGTTAATGCAAATTTCTAATTAGTCAATCACATGGCAGCAACTCAATGGATTTAGGCATGCAAATATGGTCAAGATAATCTACTGCAGTTCAAACCGGGCATCAGAATGGGGAAGGGAGGTGATTTAAGCGACTTTGACGATGGCATGGTTGTTGGTACCAGTCGGGTTGGTCTGAGTGTATTTCAGAAACTGCTCATCTACTGGAATTTTCATGCACAACCATATAGAGCGCAACCATCTCTACAGAGAACGGTCCAAAAAAGAGAAATATCCAGTGTGAGCAGCAGTTCTGTGGGTCCAAATGCCTTATTGATGCCAAAGGTCAGATGAGAATGGCCAGACTGGTTTGAGCTGAGAGAAAGACAACAGAAATTCAAATAACCACTTGTTACAACCTAGGTATGCAGAAGAGCATCTCTGAACGCACAAACCCGTCCAACCTTGAGGCAGATGGGCTACAGCAGCAGAAGACCACACCGGGTGCCACTCCTGGCAGCTAAGAACAGGAAACTGAGGCTACAATTAACACAGGCTCACCAAAACGGGACAATAAAAGATTGGAAAGCGTTGCCTGATCTGATGAGTCTCGATTTCTTCTGCAACATTTAGATAGTAGGGTCAGAATTTGGCCTTAACAACAGGAATGCATGGATCCAGCCTTGTATCAATGGTTCAAGCTGGTGGTGGTGTAATGATGTGGGGGAAATTTCCTTGGCAAACTTTGGGTCCATTATTACCAATTGAGCCTCCTGTCAATGCTACAGCTTATATCTGAGAATTGTTGCTGACCATGTCCATCCCTTTATGACCACAGTGTACCCATCTTCTGATGGCTACTTCCAGCAGGATAATGACCTATGTCATAAAGTGCGAATGATCTGAGACTGGTTTCTTGAACATGACAATGAGCTCACGGTACTCAAATGGCCTTCAGTCACCAGAGGTCAATCCAATAGAGCGCCTTCAGGATGTGGTGGAACGGGAGATTGGCATCATGGATGTGCAGCTGACAAATCTGCAGCAACTGCGTGATGCTAGGTCACCAAAATCTCTGAGGAATATCTCCAGTACCTTGTTGAATCTATGCCACAAAAGATAAAGACAGTTCTGAGGCAAAAGGGGGTCCAACCCGGTACTAGTATGGTGTACCTAAAGTGCCTGCCTTCGATATCACACAATCCTGTGTGTTCCATTTCTGAAATGAACTATAAATAAAGTGTTGCTTCAGTGCCATTTGTGTATATATTTACATTTTGACCGTTTTTTTTTTTTTTTTCTTTTAATGGCATATTTAGTAAGATGTTAGCAAATATTCACTTCTCTCTATTTAGTTGTACCCAAATAAATAATGCTGTCTAGGAAATCTGTCAGAAATCACGAATGCTGCTTCGGCAGTAAGGCAACAAGTCAGCAGTCCATGCTTTTGGACGCAGTCAACATTTAGTGTTAGTTCGAGTTAAATGAATCCTATTACCTATGCACACAAATATTAACAGTAGCCATACTGTAAATGTGCTCTAGTCATTACATAACAGTTACCTAATTCGAGTATGGAAAACACATTAATTGATTATCTTTAGGCAAAAACATCATCACCCCCATCACTTGTTGCGTGACTCTTCCCGTCGACGTCAGACTGCAAACGGTGTGGCGCGTGACGTCAGGAGGAGACACTGCTTAAAGTTGTGAGTGTCCGTCGATTCGGAACAGAGCAGGTGTGGAGTTTATCCTCGAGCTGGAAGACAGCAGATACGAGACGAAAAACGCCGCAGCATCCGTGATAAGCGGCTGGCTATAGTGAGCTTTCTGTAAATCATCTCCTTTTTGCTCCTTTTGAGAAAATATTCAGAGAACATATTTAGAACTACAGTGGACATTGCCAGAGAAATCTGCTGTTAACAGGTAAACTGACTGAGGAAAAAAAAACTTTGCAAAAGGATTAAAAGTAGGACAATGTAAATAATTTAGTGTAGCTTATTGATGGGATGTTTTTATAAACGCATGCTTTTATTATTATTATTATTAATTTGTGAACTCTACGCATTATTAGTTTATAAATAAATCACCCTATAATTTATCACTTTGCAAGACTATTATAGATTACTTAATGTTTTCCAAGTGTGTGAAGGTTAAATGTTCGTTTTTGTAGCTCATGGCGTTAATGATGAACTCCTGGTGGACTGTGGCTTTGAGCGCCTGTCTCGTGCTCATGGTTCGGGCTGAATGCGGCAGAGACTGCGCGCTCTGCGTTTACCGGCTCCTCCGACAGACAGACATCGACACACTGGTGAGTTTCAGCTTCAAAATATACTTTATTACAAAAGTGACGCTAGGTTTAATGACGATGCATTTTTACTGGTGTTTCAGCAAAAAAAGTAGGCTATTTTTCAAAGGTCGGGGCAATTTGTCACACGTAGCCCAGTTAATAAGGCGTTTAAATACAATTACGATTATTATTATTATTATTATTAAGGCGACAATAATTGTTAATTGTATTGTTTTATAATAGTTTTACTGTCTGCATATTTAAGCTATAGTGTTATAATAAGGCTATAAACAATCATTTTACAGCTTTTCCTTAATAACTGGATATATTTGAGTTACATTTTTTGGCAAAACTATACAAACACTGACTTTCAGCTTAAATCAAAACTATGCTGCTTGCGAGGCTTAAAAAGAGCCTTCAGCATTTGTGTCTCTTCTAATGCCTTCAGCATCCTCTTAAAGATAAAGGTTCCACGATGTGATTTTCACCGTAATGGGAAAATATATATATATTTGGAAAATGCAAAAAACTATCGACAATTGGTTCCTAAAAAAGCTTTTCTCTTTCTTTCTTTCTTTCTTTCTTTCTTTCTTTCTTTCTTTCTTTCTTTCTTTTTTTCTTTCTTTCTTTCTTTCTTTCTTTCTTTCTTTCTTTCTTATTAGCCTATTTTTTGTTCTCAGTGTGAAAAACATTTTTAAATGATAGTTATAAAGTTAAACGATTGTTTTATTTTATAATAAAATATAAAAAACCCTTTAAAAACAAGTTATTTGTTTTTGATATTATGAGTGATATTACTTTAATGTGTTAGGAAAACACCCTCTAAGATGACTTATGTCTGCATTATATATACATTATATTATATTATATAAAAAACATATATATTATAAAACATGTATTATTATTATTTTATATATACAGTTGAACTCAGAATTATTAGACCCCTGAATTATTAGCCCCGTTTATTTTTTACCCCATTTTTTGTTTAATGCAGGTAACATTCTTTTAACATATTTCTGAACATAATAGTTTTAATAACTCATTTCAAATAACTGATTTATTTAATCTTTGTCATGATGACAGTAAATGCTATTATAGATATTTTTCAAGACACTTCTATACAGCTTAAAGTGACATTTAAAGGCTTAATTAGGTTAATTAGGTTAACTAGGCAGGATAGGATAATTGGCAAGTTATTGTGTAACGATGGTTTGTTCTGTTGACTATCGAGAAAAAAAATTGCTTAAAAGGGCTAATAATTTTGACCTTTAAATGGCTTTTAAAAATTAAAAACTGTTTTTATTCTAGCCGAAATAAAACAAATAAGACTTTCTCCAGAAGAAAAAATATTACCAGACATACTGTGAACATTTCCTTGCTCTGTTAAACATCCTTTGGGATATAATAAAATAATAATAATCAAAGGGGGGGGGGCTAATAATTCTGACTTCAACTATGTGAACTTATTTGTTTTTGACTACATATTATTTTGTGAGAAAAACAGTCTTTAAGCTGACTTCAGTCTACATTGTATATGTTATATTATATATAAAAAGATATATATCATAAAATATTTTTATTATTATTATTTTAAATATATCTGAAATATTTTTTTGAATATATGATAATATTTTAATGTGTTAGAAAAACACCCTTTTAGATGACTTAAGTCTACATTATATAGGTTATACCATGTAAAAAGATTTATGTATGTATATATATATATATATATATATATATATATATATATATATATATATATATATATAGATATCATTAAACATTTATATATATATATATATATATATATATATATGTATGTATATATATATATATATATATATATATAATAAAACATTTTTATTACTGTTATTTTAAATATATCTGCACTTAAATAGCTCTAACTAGACATGATAGAATTAATTATACGTTTATTTTTCATATTTAGTTAATTTTTTGCAATTAATGTGAGAAGGTGAAAAGGAACTTTAAATGCAATAAAAACCTTACCTTTTTATGCATTAGAATGTGTCCATGTTTTAATGAATTATTTATTATTATTTTATCTTTTCAAAAAAAGAAAAAAAATACTATCAATCATTCAAACGGGTGTAGTAGATACCAAGAAATTGTGTCAGGAATAATGTAGAACCATAATCATTTGATGGCACATGAAAGACTTTGAGGAATATTGTCATACTAATAATACTGCTTATTATAAATTGTTACTTTGTCATTACTTACAAACATTGTCAGCAATTTTTTAAATAATTTAAAATACAATTCAATTTAGTATGATCATTTGTTCTACTATATATGTTATTAAGTACAAGTCATAACATAAGAGTGCTGTTTTAGTACCAGTTGACAGCATTTTCCACTGCGCAGACTGTCATCATCACTCTTTTTAACAGCAGACTGAATGATTGTGCCCTCTGCTGGACTGATTGGTCATTCTCTCTTATAGGCCTGCACATTAGAATGTGAAGGGTCTGTGGACTCCAGAAAAATCGAAATCTGTAAAAACATCCTCACCGAAGAGGATCGCCTTGCCATCGACAGCCTCAAGCAAGATGAAGAGAGTGCAAACCATGTTCTCGCCAAGAAATATGGTGGCTTCATGAAGCGTTACGGCGGCTTTATGATTAAAAAAGCAGCAGAAATCGGTACAGGAGCCCCAGCTGAGAGTGACGGCACAGGGGCCATCAGTAAGAAATATGGAGGCTTTATGAAGAAGGCAGACGATGGAGCTGAAGACCAACAGGTGGAGCTCCTGCGAGAGATCCTCCGAGTTGGACTCTCTTCAGAGTCAGATGATCAGCCTGATGGGGACATGGTCAAACGCTATGGGGGCTTCATGAGGAGTGTACAGGAGAACACTGGGAGAGACCTGCACAAGAGATATGGTGGCTTTATGCGAAGAGTGGGCAGGCCTGATTGGTTGGACAACCAGAAAAGCGGTGGGCTTCTGAAACGCACTTGGGAGGAAGGAGGCGAGACGGCGCTGCCCGACATGCAGAAGAGATACGGAGGATTCATGGATTAGAGCAAAAAACATGGACACCCATCTTAAAACAACCCTCTTCCTACTTTGTGTAGAGCTTGCACTGTACCAATTTCATGTGAAGCCATTTTGAATTTCTATTTATTTCATTTGTTTTTGTCTTTGCTGCTAAATATTCCTTTATAATGTACAGTGTATGTTTGTTCTAGGGTTTGTGTTTTGAAAAAAAAAAAATTTATCTTTGCATTCTCTTACCATGGAATCACAAATCAGACATTTGGTAAAGACAGAGGACAATAATCGAACCATTTCTGGGTCACGTCCCCACAAATGAAAAGCACTTTTGGCGGTGTTGCTTTGTTCTCATCTCATCACATTATTAGTCCGCTTCGCTCATTGAACATTGTTGGTGAGGTTAAGTCTGCTGTCTGCACTTGATGTCTTAATGATTAATGCATTTCCTTTACAAAACCTTATACAGTTTTTGTTCCTGTTTAAATCGAGGCAACATTTTGAGCTATTAGCTGTACAGAATACAATAAATTCATCTTACTGCAGAAGAGAAGTGTCTCTTTGAGATATTTGTTTTTCACAAATTGAGCCATCCTGCTGAATGAAGCTATCTTATTAGAGTCTAATTACCTTAATGGCTCTCTTTAGAAGAGTTTGATAGCAACATTTTTACTATTCAGAGTTTATAGTCCTACATGAGCAGCTGTTTTATTTGGTAGGAATGACTTATTTCACATGAAACAGTTTACTATAGATTAGGTCATTGTATGTTTGGTTGTAAGCTTATTTTATTTATTATGAAAATGACAAGGGATCTATTTATAAAAGTGTTATTGTTAAGAGGAATTGTGCGGTAACTGTCAGGAGGTAATTCACCTTCATATTATTTTTATTTATTGTGGCAATGGTGAATTTCATAAGAGGCAAGATTAGAGATTAGATAATGTTAGTGGGTTATTGATTGACTGATTGCGGGCACGGATATTGTCCTTGTAGTGTGGTCTCAACTCATAAAAAGTGTCATACAAGGAAATGAAAAAAAAAATCATTATTATAATTGTTACTCATTTTTCCTTCGACTTAGTCCTTGTGGAATCACAGTGGAATGAACCGGCAATGATTATTCATAAATTATTAGTTATTGAAGTAATGAATAAATAACAATGAACAAATTATTGAAATATGTAACTAAAAACATCAAGCAGTTTACTCAAGCAAGCTAGCTTCATTTTATTTTGTTTTATTTATGTCTTCATGTTGAAGGATTAATTTAGTGAAGAGATGTGTATGAGAGAAGGGGGGTGGGGGTGGGGTGGGGAGGGGGATGGGAGGAAATATGGCATGATTGTTATCAAAGATGTCATTTACTAACTAACAAATGAACAAAATGCTGAAGCAGATTACGTTTTATTTATTTATTTTTTTGTTGTTTATTTATTTAGATGATAAAATTTAGTCACGGTAAGGGCCTGACTCAAAAATTATGCTATAGAGGGAGATTTAAAAAACATAAATTTAGTGATACATGCCCATAGACAGCCTAGTGAAAGGGTTGGTTCTTTTTTTCCAAAAAGTGGACCTTTTTGCAGTTATTCGACTCATTTTCTTTTTAATTATGAGATTTTATATTGCATTTTAGTGACTATTGAAGCACTTTTTTGCTTGATTAGCTCATCACATGGTCACACTTTTTAATGTACCAAAACCTTTTTCAAAACATTTAGAATAAAGAAATATGAAGGCTATACTTATTTTCAGGACACTTTATATCACCAAGAGAAAAAATAGCAGTCTGTTAAAGTTTTACATTTAAAACTGTGATTTATTAGTGAACTGTGTTTATTGTCATTTATTAGGCAAATAAAAAACTGGCTAGCACATTCAACTTCCCACAGTCTAAGAATTATACGTTTTGAATCAAAAAAATAATAATAAACATAAAAATAATGTAAAGCTTCACGATTTTAGCTTTTCTTGTAAGGAAAAAGTACATTTGAAAATTAATGGATCACAACAACAGTCTAATAAGTATTATTTTGAGCTTTTATTTTTTACAACAATAAGGTCCACTATTTAGAAGAAGTTAAAAGACGTTACGGAAATGTTTTCTCTATAACAACAATACAGTCAAAGTTGACTTTACTTGCATCAGATTCTACTTGGTCTTAAAGCCTTTTTCGATGGGTTATTTTGATAACTTATGATGGCATAACAAGTCAAAATAAGACAAAGGAGTTCCCGTATGAGACAAATCCTGGACCTTTGTCAGGTGGATCTTTTGAACCACCCGAACCCCCCTTGACTTCAGGCCTGTGTTATAGTTATAATTATCAAGAAAGTCATTCATTGATTCATTACATAAAACAGTTAACTTAAGCAGTATATAATGTCATTTTTATTATTACAAGGAAATATTAATAAGAAAATAATGATTGAATATTATTATTCATGCAATAATTATATTATTATTATGTAACACAGGAAATGTCAAAAGACTTTGAAAGACTTGGATCAGAGAGATAGTGGTAATATTATTACTACACATTTTTAGATATTAATTTATGGATATCGTTTTTTTTACTTGTCTTACTAATGTTCAATGAAAGGCAAACACAAACTATGGTGACCAGAGCTTAACATGCTGCAATTTAAGAAAACACATGCAATTACAAAAAAAAAAAAAAACCAGCAAATTAGGAAAAGATCTTTATCTGTTGACAGCACATGTGCTGCAAATCCTCACAATGCAAACACATAATTTTTTTATTTTTTATTTTCACATGACTGGCGAAGCAGTGGCGCAGTAGGTAGTGCTGTCGCCTCACAGCAAGAAGATCGCTGGGTCACTGGTTCAAACCTTGGCTCAGTTGGCGTTTCTGTGTGGAGTCTGCATGTTCTCCCAGTGTTCGTGTGGGTTTCCTCCGGGTGCTCTGGTTTCCCCCACAGTCCAAAGACTTTCGGTACAGGTGAATTGGGTAGGCTAAATTGATAGTGTATAAGTGTATGTGTGTGAATTAGTGTGTTTCCCAGAGATAGGTCGTGACTGGAAAGGCATCCGCTGCATAAAAACTTGCTGGATAAGTTGGCGCTTGGCGGTTCATTCCGCTGTGGCAACCCCGGATTAATAAAGGGACTAAAGCCTGGTTTATACTTCTGCGTCAAGTGACCGGCGTAACCCACGGCGCATGCAACGAACGTAGCTGTGCATTTATACTTCTGCACTGTCTCTGTTGGTCTGCATTTACACTTCCGAAACGCTAGTTGGCAGTAAGGTGTAAATGTTCCTCTGTGTCGAGTTTCTTCGCTGCTGTTTTGTTTTCCTGAACACTTCCGGGATGTACAAGTGGCTCAAACTCGCTCATTTTGAGGCAGGAACCGGCGGACGTGCAACTTTAACTATGAGGTAAACACAAAACAAAATTTTCCATCCGGAGCTCTTTCACGGGACTCCACACTTGTAAACAATCGCTCCATCGGGCTCGCACCATTCACACGGCTCTCAGTCCCGCCCAGACTCGTCAGCGCTACCAAGCCGACCAATCACAGAGCTTGCGCTATGTGTCGTTGCGACGTGTAGTTACATTTTTTGAGAGGTGCACGTCAGCGACGCCGATGGCCACGGCGAAGGGCTATGCGTCAGCGCCGTAGCATATGCCAGCGTTTGACGCAGAAGTATAAATCAGCCTTAAGCTGACAAGAAAATGAATGAATGAAATAATTTTCACATGACACAAACAAATTAATAAAACATGCTGCGTTTTCTCACAACACTTGCAAATAGCATGGGACACAACGGAAATGTAAGCAGACCCAAAACCGTGACGGACATCGCTGTGTCATGACTTTTGCAGTGAAGTTAGGTCTTTGAAAGATGAGTTTTTTGTTTGTTTATTTTAACATCCTCTTTCACTTTTCCTCTGTATTTTAATAACCTAAATAACCATAACCTAAACAGCCGGGTCTGTCACATTTTAGGGTCCCCTTGAAACTTTTTAGATGTGTTCTTTGCTATTTAAAAGTGTTGTGAGAAAATGCAGCATAATTTGTTTGCGTTGTGAGAAAATACAGCGTGTTTTGTAAAAATGTGTATGTCTTGTGAGGATTTGAGGCACATGTGCTGCCAAACAGATGCAGATCTTTCCGTAATTTGCAGTTTTTTTTTTTTTAAATAAAAAAAAGCAGCATGTTAAGTGTAATGGGGGATGGTCATATAAAAGATTTTTCTGCCACCATTAATAATGGGATCCTGAACTGTGCTCTATTATTTTAAAAGTGAAAATGTAATTACACTTACAGTGCATCCGGATAGTATTCATAGCGCTTACTTTTTTCCACATTTTTTTTTTTTGTTACAGCCTTGCTCAAAACGGATTCAATAAGTTATCTCGTAAAAATAAAAAATAAAAACAGCTAAAATAAATAATGAAATTAACAATTTTTACTAAAGTTTTTCTTATTTATTTTTTTACATTGCATAGTTCAGCTTTATTTTAAATTAATCAATTTTGTCTTCGGTATGAAATGCATTATGGTCCTAACTCAGTGGCTGTGAGCTGTCGACTTTCAAATGTTTTGTATATATTAACAAGTAAGATTAATTATGACGCATTCTGTGGTTAAGTAGACGAAATAAACAGACGAAAAAGTTTATTCATACCACCAGATGTTACCACAGCAGGCAAATCGAGACTACTTACACAAACTTCTTGAAACTTCTTGAAACGTGTGTGCCGCTTAAAGAATATGTCTTTTAAATCAAAAAAGGTGCAAATTATACGTTGTATCTCACAGTTTAAAATAAGATTATGTCTATGAGACTGCTGTGTAGTCGAACAGCTCAAACAAGTCACGACAAAACGCCATAAATACTTTAGTAAATACTTGAACTCCCACAAGCCAATGCGTGGATTGCGCCGAGCCACGTGACAGCAGTGCTTCTCAGCCTTTCCCAGCCCTGTCAGTCCGTCCGTCCTTTCCCGTAGATCTAAAACACAGAATCAAGTAAACTCCAGTTAACCTGCACTACTGACTGGCGAAGTAGCTTGCCGTCCCTCTAGTAACGAGAAGCGGAGAAGGGAGAAGTAACGTCATTCACAAAGTGCGCGCGCGCGCGTTCTCGTTGTATTTTTCTCATGTTAATGTGAAGAACAAATATTTATTTACCAACCGCGACCTTCACGGGAACGACTCACCATTCGGGTCCTTTGTAACTTATCTCCTACAGAAAGGTAAGCCCTGTTAGCATTACAGTTTACTTTTATCTGTATAAGTTTTAACGTTGAAAAAAGCTGTTTTGTTTCTGACTACATTTCACTAGTTTCTTAAGTGTTTGTATTAGCTTGTCTTAACTCACTGTTCTGTGTGTCATGTTGTTGATAAGGTTACCTGCACACCTCAAAATGAACATTCTCTTGGAGACTCTTAGACTGATATTTTTGACAGTCTACTACAACCTGGAAGCATTCCTAAAGTTCTTCATCCCCCTGAGGAAGAAAGATGTGTCTGGAGAGATTGTGCTCATCACCGGGTCAGGCAGTGGGATTGGCAGACTGATGGCCCTTGAGTTTGCCTCACTGGACGTCTCACTGGTGCTGTGGGACATTAATGTGGACGGCTTGAAAGAAACTGCAGAACAGGTTAAAGAAAAAGGGGCATCAAGGGTACATTATTACCAGTGTGACTGCAGTGATAGAGAAGCAGTGTATCGAGTGGCAGATCAGGTAAGCCGAGTTCAAACCGCCGCTGTGAGTTGTTTTGCTGGAATGAAGAGTATTTCATTCAAAACCATGCATGCTTTTTAGTACTAGCTTTAAGGGGTCGTTCACCAAAAATGGAAAATACTCTGTTATTTACTCACCCCTTTGTTTGCTTCTTTCCTCTATTAAATACAAAAGAAGATATTTTAAAGAATGCTGAAAACTGGTAACCATTGACTTCCATAGTATTTGTTTTTACTACAATAGAAGTCAGTGGTTATAAGTTTCAAACTTTTATGTGTAAAAGAAGAAATAAACTAGGCATTTTAGAAAAGTCAGGGTTTTAAAACCACCAAAGTTTTTATTTTATTATTTTACATGTTTTTCATAACAATTTTATTTAGTTTTAAGGCAATAGTATCCACAGCAGAAAAGGAACCTGCAAATCAAAGGCTACTGATCCAAAATGTTTAAAATGTTTCTTAACAAAAAAGTTGCTGTTTACATTTAAAAAAAATATTTTGGAGCAGTGATCACAATATCGTGACATCGTGATATTTTTATCCAAGGTTATCATACCATCAGAATCAATGACTGTAAAAAAAAATAAGGACAACGCAACATTTTTCCATTGAACCCTTTGAGGCAAAACGCCTCATAATGGGCACAAACTGTCGCAAAACACTGCTGAAATTGGAGCCTGGGCATGCACAGAAGAGACTACCAGATGGAGCCACAGGCGGAGCCACGGAATCAAGCTTCCAGCCAAATGCTTGTACATCAAATCGACCACATCCCCCAAACCTCTCATTTGACGGCTCGCATCTGACCTATAACAAAGGCTCGCTAATATAAATGTAAGCACTTACATTTAAAAACAAGAAATAATACTTCAGCCTCCACATCAAAGTTCCTGAAAGCAAAGAAGGTCAAGGTGCTCCAGGATTGGCCAAACCAGTCACAGATATGAACATTATTGAGCATGTCTGGGGTAAGATAAAGGAGGCTTTGAAGATGCATCCAAAGAATCTTGATGGGAGTCCTGCAAGAACACTTTCTTTGCCATTTGAGATGACTTTATTAATAAGTTATTTGAGTCATTGCAGAGATATATGAATGCAGTCATCCAAGCTCATAAGAGTCATACACAATATTAATGGTTTTTCCACTGCACTGTGACTTTATTTTCTATATACTATACATTATTTCTATTAAGTGGCAAGACTTTTGTCTAAACAAAGTCAGACCTTACTGTCCTAATTAAATAATTAAAATCAAGGCATTATCATATTTTATTTTGGTAAAATAAGCGTAATCTGGAGGTCTTTGTCTTTCATATAAGCCATGTCTGATACCAAATGATCAACTAGAAGTCAAGCTATTATTTGTTGTTCTTAAAACTTATAGGCGACAAGACATTTGTCAGGTAGTGTATATGTAATAACAATTCATTATTTTTTTAAAGTTAAAAACAGTATAATTCTTGTGCCTAATTATTTTGCTTGTCTTAAAATGTCTTAAAATCCTTAAAAACATGTAAACGATAAACAGTTCATTAAGTTTATCAATAACCTTTGCAATCACTCAACAAATCAAGAGTGTTTTCTACTATGGCTCCTGGTCAACTATAATCTCGATTCGACATAGCAGATCCTGTGATGGTGATGCAAACATTGCGATATCAATGCTGAAAAAATATATTGTTTTGCCCTAAGCTAACTATATATTAATCTATTATTTATGCCAGTCACGTTTATTTTTCAGTTGTCATGCCTCCTTGAACAGTTAGTTTCACATATTACTTTCTTCTTATATCAGCTTGAATCTAACTTTAATGTCATTTATTTGATTAATTCCATAATTGGCAACAGCATTAGTGAAATTATAAAGTCAGCTGGGCATCATTGCAAATTAATCCGTGACCAAGTTATGAGGAATTTTGCATAAATCAGGGGATCCGGTATCACCCTACAGGGTTTTATTTTATAATAATAATGACCACAGAGAATCTCACCCAGCAGCAAAGCTAAATCCCTGTGCAGATAGAAAGTCAATATAAAAGCTGCAAAAGAAAATGAATTATGCTACCTATCATTGTTAATAGCGCTCAAATTGCAGAATACAATAGCGCTTATGATATTCTGAAAATAATATTTAGAACTGATTTACACAGCAAATGCTTTTTTTTTATTTAAACGTCAGTCATTTTTACATTTTAGAGACCAGTTTGACCTCCAAATATAAGACCACATTAATAGTACATCAAGTCTAATATCGTTGATACACATTTTTTCTCGTGTAAACCTCACCAAAACATAATGTACCTACAGGCTACTTTGCACATTTGCTATTCCTCATAGGTAAGGTTAAATTTAGGTCAAGAACACAACCTAAAATTAGATAGGATTGCAGTTTGCTAGTTATCCTATACAGAAATTTCTATATATAAAAAAACAAACAGATGTTGTTGAACACATACACAAGTGTTTGTATTTCGATTTAACTACTATCTGTGCAAAAGAAAACCAATTAAAATCATTCTGTGCTGTAATGTAAACATGCACTCTGTGACACAGTTACACATACTGTATACTGCAGTCATTTTTAAATGGTAAATGCTATACTAATTTTGATTTAAAGTCACATACAATAGAAAGCATATAATGCTATTGTTTATGATTTGATGACATTGTTTATGAAGGGTTATATAGAAGAGTAAGTTGTTTTGAAACAATGCTTTATTAGTTTACTGCAGTTTCAAACTCAAATGTGGACCTAAGTGAGTTTGCTTATCTTTTATAAGGGGTTGAAACAAAGTTTTGTTGCAGCAGTGTAAATCCAGCTTCTAATGGTACAAATGAACTAATTTATTGTATTTTTTTTATAATTACACTTGATAAAAACATTCTGCAGAAACATTTTGATGGACTTTTTCCCTTTTTTTACATGTGATCAGTGGTGGAAGGCCCTGCTGATTAGTGACAATCTCTTCCTCAGTAGCATAAACACCCTTGAGTGAGAAGAAGTCATTCGCCATTAGAGTTTTCACACCATACCAGCCAAAGACAATGTCAGCAACTTATAGGCATTATGGTTGTCGAATTTTAGGATGCAGAAATGAAGGCTGTAGACTCCATAGGCAAAGAGACTGTCACTATTGTGACAAATAGACGTTTGTAGCTCCACCCCCTTTTGAAAAGAGCACAATCTCATTTGAATTTAAAGCAATGTTAACTAAAATGTCACAATTTGGATCAAAGCCCAAAAGGTACAATTTCATTAAGTTGTAAATAATTATTAGTGTTGTAGTTTGAGCTGAAACTTCACATACACACTCCAGGGACATCAGAGAATTCATTTACATCTTGTAAAAAGTAGCATAATAAGGTCCTGTTAACACTAATTTGTTTTAGTTTTAAAACGCAAAAAAGGAAGCCTATAACATAAATACCTCCTTTCATTTTCAGTGAAAAATACAAAACACACCCTGTCTCTTTTGCACATTTAATAATCAATAATGACCATTGTAAAAGTGTGATATACAATAAGTTTATACAAGGAAATTAAGGCAAGCTATCAGACAAATGTGCAGAATCAGTGTATGTGGTTACATAAATTAATATATCAACTTATCTTTGCGCTCAGTCAAAACACGTTACCTGAGAAAAATTAATAGATTCAAAAGACCAAAGTCAGGGAATATGTTGGCAGATATAGACAACAAGTTGATTTAATTATCACTTTTAACAAATATAATGAGATTAGATCCATGGCTATATTCTCGATGAACCGCCGGACATACACAGTTCTCACCTGGGGTTCTGTGCTCAATGCACCCGCTGACTGCCTGGGGCTCAGGTGTGCGCATACGCTGCAGTGCATGCCAGAGTGTGTGTTGTCACGTGATGTGCGTTTTCAGCAGTGCAGTGTGGACAGGGAGCTGTTCAGAAACGCTAGGTAAAATGCCTGTGTGGACGTGGATCATTTTTAAACTAAAAAGTATTAGTGTAAATGGGGCCTCGGTCCCCTGTAACTAGTAAAAAATCTCATGTCTTTATCTCTCTTTTGTTTTACTCTTATTTAGACCTGTCATGATACTTATTTTTTGTTGTATGATATATTGCACCAAAATATATTGAGATAAACAATATTATTGTCACTTTAAGATTAAAATTTTACACAAAATTTTATGCCACTCATTATATAATGCCAGAATGACAATATAATATCGCCACAATGCAAGTACGCTCTTCCATATTTTTAAGAATATTTAATTTAATTATAATAATTTAAACAATTTAATAATTGGAATCTTCATCTGAAAGTTATTCCTAAATTAATAATCCTTAACTTATTATCCTCACTTAATAATAAGAAATGTTAATATATATATATATATATTCAAGGTAAAAAAAACTTTTATATTTGGTACTAGATCTATTTTCGGTTGTCAGCCACATGAAAATATTGTAAAGTTATTTTTATTGCATACTATAGTCAGTTTCCTCTAGGATTTTTTTCCAGCTGTGGCGGCAGACCTTTTACTAAAATCTACAAACTACCTATGGCATTATTTCAATGGCAAATTTCGAGATCGTATTTATGTTATACGAGCATGCCAATCTCTTTGCTTTCGCGCTGATTTCTTGCACCGCCCCCTCACACTGCTCAAGTGCAGATTTTCTTGTGCGCTCTCAAAAAAACACTGCTGAAGTGCGATTTAGAGCATTTATGTAACAAGTATGTCTCCAACATTTATTAGAATTGTCTCCAATAGACCTACAGAACGGCATTGATGAAGTAAAACGACCATCAACTCCAGCAAAATAAAGTCATACCTTTATCTATAAAGTATAATTATGGAAACTGTTCATCTTAAATGAAAGCTATGTTACGTCATGTTTGCTGGCCCCACGCACCTGTCAGTCAGCATGTTACTCTAAAGAGTTAAAAAAATAACGCACAACACTACTACGGTTATAGAAAGTTTGCGCTGTTATAATTCACTTACCTTTTAGTACGTTTTGGTGTGATTATAACCTGTTATTCAGAACAAAAAAATGACTGAATGAATGAGAAGCTGTAATGTAGCCGTGGCAGGATGAATTTTGGTGTGGCGCCTGCCCATGGAAGAATGAATGTAGCGGAAATCATGATAGTGTTTTATTAACCATACTGACACCTACGATAGAGATGTTGCACAAATATCAGTTAAAATATTGCTAGAATTGTTTTTTATGTATGGGCTATCTGTATTGTATCACCAAAAATGATTGAGGTCTTGTCCATGTGTTGTGCGATAAGTCGATAAATTGATTATTCTGACAGGCCTAACTAATATTGTTTGTTTGCTTTTAGGTAAAAAGTGAAATTGGTGATGTCACCATATTAATAAACAATGCTGGCATTGTTAGTGGTAAGAAGTTCATGGACACCCCTGATGCCCTCATTGAGAAGACACTGAGAGTGAATGCAATGTCCCATTTTTGGGTAGGATTGGACGGCTAAATATTATTTCCTACTATCAGATTTGACCAGTGATATCTCTCATTTTGAAGCCCTTTATTCTGCGTAAGTGTCCATTTGTGGTCATGTTTCTTTTCCAGACATACAAAGCATTTCTTCCCGCCATGATGGACAAAAACCATGGACATCTGGTCAGTGTTGCAAGCTCTGCTGGCTTGATAGGTGTCAATGGATTGGCAGGTAATGTAACCTCCTCTAATCTGTTACACAACAAAGTCCTCTCAGGCTTTAAGTCTATGACACAAAATACTTGGCAAAACAGATGTTTTTTTTTTTCTTCATGTTTGTCAACATGAAAAAAAAATGTATTTGTAGATCTGTCAAACATGTTTGTTGATCTTTATAGATCACAGTCTAAAGTGTGTACAATTTAAGCATTATTCTTTGAATGTATGTAAAAGTTATACACCCTCAGGCATGTGTTAAGTGTACACTCTCTAACAGGAAGTGGATATCTGAGATGTTACAGTGATTATTGTGAGTTCCTCAGGTGTGCATTGTTATCATAGTTTGTGACACAGGTCCTATTACAAGGAGATTTCAGTGAGCAGCTGTTTGAAATGCCTGAAACTGGTTGCCACTACTGCCTGTACAGATGTCTCCTATCTTTCTCAACACAGATTATTGCGCAAGCAAGTTTGCTGCTGTGGGTTTTGCCGAGTCAGTGGCCCTTGAGCTGTTATCAGCAGGGAAGGATGGAATCAAGACCACGATTGTCTGCCCATTCTTGATCAACACAGGACTGTTTGATGGATGTGGGACAAAGTAAGATGGCACACATTTTTTATTCTGTAGGGCTGTCGTGATAACTGCAATTTTGTAATAACCGCTTTTTTCGAACTCGTTTCACTCCAATCACTTTTGTTTGGTTCTCTTATTACAGTTTTTCTCAGTGGCTTTGGTGTATTTTTCACAACACTTTACATTTGCACAACAGTTGATGCATTTCTCAAACAAAAAGTCATTTGTGCACACCGTAGTAGCAGTTTCTCATTCCTTCCAACAAATTGTAAGTGCTTTTGGACATGCATCAGTTGCTTTCATACAACTCTCTGCTGAGGCGACACAGTGGCGCATTAGGTAGAGCTGTCGCCTCATAGCAAGAAGGTAGCTAGGTCGCTGGTTCGAGCCTCAGTTGGGTCACTTGGTGTTTCTGTGTGGAGTTTGCATGTTCTCCCTGTGTTCGCGTGGGTTTCCTCTGGGTGCAGCTGGAAGGGCATCCGCTGCGTAAAAAAGTGCTGGAAAAGTTGGTGGTTCATTCCGCTGTGGCGACCCCGGATTAATATTGCAGTCCTAATGCTGAATAGCCATTCCATATAAAACTAATAGTCCTTATTTCATTACTTGAGTTATTACCTACAAAAATGTTGAAAAAGTTGTCAAAATCTGTTAAGCAAATTTTGTAATAAAAAAAATACATTTTTCCTCAAAATGTCTTCTAAATCGAACGATTTTATGAATGATTTACAGACTTTATGTTGTAGGTTCAGTTCCAATATTGTTTACAGCTGTGCACAGCTCTACCCAAAGGAAGTTTATGTTTGTTGTAAATAAGGGTGTATTTATTCTTTTGCACAATGCTGTGAATAAATTAGACTTGCAAAGAGCAAATGCAGTAAAAATGTGAAACATACATATTTAATGTCTTGTACTCGGATATCTCACTAAATGCAGTGATGTTTAACTTCACTGTAGTTTACAAACAGCTATGCAGATAGTATATAGTGCTCTCTTGAGCATTTTCAGAAAGTGTCACCAAAATCTTTTTTAAAAGATTTAAAAAAACCAAAGACTTTTTTTGCATTGGAAAAGATGTACAGTCATAATGAAAACGTGACAAAGCCATTTGACTATCTTGTTGATAAACAATGGTGTCAGGGCTTTCATCTTGATGACAGTGACTTTTCATTGAAATGAATACTTGCTTTTGAGGAATGAGCTATCCATTTTGAGCATTGGACACGTTTTTACTAATTGTTGTGAGAAATTCACCAAAGCAAAAAGCAACTTAGAAAAACTATAAAAGGGAGATTTACCAACAAAAAACACATCAAAATTAGGATAAAAATTTGGATAAAAATTCTATCAAACTAAATCCATTATAAAACGATAATCTATCATCAAACAATACATGAAGTGATTAAAATAGTGTGTCCAACCCATTTTCATTCATCTGGCTTTCTGCCATTCTATTTTCCACAGCTTTATGATATTGACTTTCATATTGAAGAACAAAACCAAGAATAAACCAAACACCAAAAATGTATGTTCAAACAAAATAAAAAGCACTTTAAAAAAAATAGCGGCATTACATGCTGTTGACAACCAGAGGAACCACAGCCAGTGTAGTGTACTTTTTTTCCAGTTTTTTTTTTAGTTCATCCAATATGCAAAATTTGCAGCTTGAAGGTACGTGTGACATGGTAATACATCATATCTAAAGTCTTCTCTCTGTCATCCAGCTGCTACTGCCCCAATAAAGAGTCAAGTTGTGAAGCAACATCAAAAAGAAGAAGCCGAAAAGTAACTGAAAGTAAGCTGCAAGTAATAGACAAATGCCTTTCAGCTACTGCTATGCAGCCTGTCTAGTCAAGGAAATCTGGCAAAATCATTATCTCCTTTACACTATATATATTTTTTGATAGTCTACTGAAGAAACCATCATTATACAATAACTTGCCTGATCACCCTATCCTGCCTAGTTAACCTAATTTACCTAGTTAAGCCTTTAAATGCCACTAAGCTGCATAGAAGTGTCTTAAAATATATCTAGTAAAATATAGTTTACTGTCATCATGACAAAGATAAATTGAATCAGTTATTAGAAATAAGTTATTAGAGTTATTAAAATGAGTCATTAAAACTATTATGTTTAGAAATGTGTGGAAAAATCTTCTCTCCGTTAAACAGGATTGTCAGGAGAACATTTTTTTCTCGAGTCTTTGTGATTTTCCAGTTGGATGTAATCACACTCTCTGTAGGAATGGTTTTGCACACAGTTTTGCAAATGTATACTATCAAAATAAAGACAGACTGTGCTTCATGCGGCTTGACAAAGCATTGAGGACACTAAAAACTTGTTTTAACTTGATCAGAGTCTTTGTGCCTCTTAACATAATTAAGCACACCTGAAACGGATAATCAAGGCCTTAATGAGCAGGGCCAGACGGAATCTGCGGACGTTTTTTGCTATTTCTGCGGAGAATTTTGGTAAAAATCTGCAGATTATTGCGGAATTTTTTTAGGAGTATCCAGCGGAGTATCATAGGGCTCGAAATTAACTTTTTTACTTGGTAGCACCAGTGCTCCCAACTTCAAATATTTAGGAGCACCAAAAAAATTTTAGGAGCACCAGAAAAAATTTAGGAGCACCCACCAAAAATAAATGAGCACCGCTGCAAATTGTTTTTTAATGGATTTATTGTATTTTAAAACAACATTAATAGGACTGACAAAAACCAGAAACAACTATCTAACTAATGCTGCGAAGACATTGATATTTGTGTGCAATAATTCCAAAATGAATGTCTAATAATTAGGCCATAGAATATTAATGATAATAAAAAATGACAATAATAGTAACAATGAATTACATTTCTCATTATGATGCTGCCTTGAATGTGCATGAATGTAGGTTTTCTGCTATAAAAAGTCTGTTACTTTATGAAAAATAATTGTATAGTTTGCATCAAACAAAAATGAAGCATTGCAGAAAGAAATATTTATTTTGTACTGCTGTTTTTATATGCATGTCAATTTAATAAATAATATTTCTGCAACAAAACATACAAAAGATTATAATAAATCATTCAATTCAATGATGAAAGCTGCAAAGCAGTCATCAGTAAATAAATATAAAAATAACATACACCTCAAAAAAGAATAGACAAAAGAAAGTAAGTAAAGTCTCACTTCTATCACTCTTTAAAAGTTTTGGTTTCAGTTTGTGTCAATTTAAAGGTTCAGTCTGAGATGATCTTCATTTTTCTGTGTTAGTGGAAAAGCTGGCGAGTCAGCCTACCCAATTTATGAGTAGGCAGAGCAGGATTCTTGTGCTAACCATCGGCGCAATACTGGTCATTGTTATGAGCCGCAGTTTCAGTGTAAACTTAGTAAAGGCAAGCTTCTTTGGCGATGATATGAACAGTACTAGATTTGACTTTTAGCAGACATTTGCCCTAAACGCAGTGAATGCAACGCATGGAGATTCGAGCACCTTCTCCAAGAAGCGCGTACTCGATTGATCTCAGCTGGCGGATCATTATTCACCACGTGACGTGTCATGATCGCTTTCATCTGCGCCTCAACTTTAGGTGGGGTTTGCAAACCTGTGTGCTTTAAGTTTTCACTCTTCAGCCATTTGCATTTCCCGTGGTCATAAAAGCTCCTTCCCTGTCATCTGACAGCGGAATACCTTGTGTGAATGACAGCTAATATGAACCAATATAGCGGCAGGGAAGAGCGATTCAGCACGTTTTTACAAAAAATCAAAACAGGTCGCACTACAACCATTATCTGCAGTCGCACTAATGCGCCCAAATATATTATGAGGTCGCATAGATTAATTTTCGGGCGCATATGCGACCAAAATGGTCGCTATTTCGAGCCCTGTTACACTTTAATATATTAAATAAAAAGTAATAAATTACTTAATAAAAACTGAATAAATTCCGATTTACACATTTACTCAAGTAAACAAACAGAATTTATTATAATGGGCTAAAAATCTGCGGAAAATCTGCGGAATCCTGCGCGCGCAGATTCCATGTGGGCCTACTAATGAGGCATTTTAGAAATGTCCAGACAGGTCTGCTGAGGCAAGTTGGAGCTAAACCCTGCAGGACAGTAGCCCTTTACGACCAAATTTGGACATCTCTGCTGTAAACTGTTTGTTGCAGCTTGTTTAGGAGAGCAGCTATTTGGTATTACTATGCCATTCATAGCCTTCAGCATGGACCTTTGCTGTCCATGCATGCTTAGTAATGTCACTAGGGGCTGTGTAAACTTTGTGTATTAATGGAACCTTCAGATGTCGTCTGAATAGTTTTAAAATGTTCCCAGCATTCCACTTTTCTTTCTTCAGGTGCTGTTGGAAATTAGCATTGCATTTGTACCTTGTGTCCTTTGGCCATGTTTATACTTCGCATTAAAATGCTTTTTTGTTGTTCATCTGATCGCAAGAGGTGTGGTATATACAAGTGTAAATGAAACTTTCACCCACTCCTCATATTATTATGTTACTAGTCAGAGCTTCTTTCTCAATATTAGTTTGAAAGATCAGAAAAGGCCCATACCTAAACATTTCCCTGGACTTTTACCCTTAAGGGCCCGTTTAACTTTTGTTATACAGATTTGTTTTGGTCGGTCGTATTAAATAGACAAGAGAGGCACAATCTCAATCACACCTGGTATTTGAATCTCACTTTTGTCCACTTTGAAAAATGACCTCAAATGACGAAGTGTCTATGGATATGCAGGGTTTATATGGTCATGAAAACTCTCAAGTCATGGAATTTTGACTTGCTATTTTTCAGGCCTGGAAAAGTTTTTGAAAAACAAATAAACCTACACTGTAAAACCCAACAGTCAACTTTATCAACTGAAATAAACATTTACTGAAAGTTAATTTTACTCATTTGAAAAGGGTTTTGAACTCAGTGTTGAAGGAAATGAGTTAATTAAATACTGTACCTCATTACTTCAACTTAAATGGAGCAAGTTTGTTGCAATCGGTTTCCTCAAATGGTTTGAGTTGCCTAAACTTATTGGGTTCAACAGTACTCAGTTGGTTTGAGTTCTCTTTATTTATGGGGTTTTACTGTGCTAAAATTGCTTTGTTTACTTAAATGGATTAAGTTTACAGCACTCATTAGGATTGTTTTTTTAACTTAAATAGTTTGTTGCAATCGGTTTCCTCAAATGGTTTGAGTTATCTTAACTTTTTGTGTTTTACAATGTACAGTAAAATGAAATAAACATTTTGGAAAAGTCATGGAAATTTGTTTAACAAATATCTATACTTGATTATTTTGCAATATGAATTGAAAAAAATTCTACAAGGCATTAGTTTTTATTATCAATTTTTAGTGTTTTTTGTGTATTATTATTCTATTAGTTTGTGTATAAATTATGCTTAGGTTAGGGTAAAAAATTTATTGTTTCAGCCTTTACTTCTTTTGTGTTCGTGGCCAATCACATGCTCTCACATAACTTTAGTCAAGGGTTGCGTAAACATTATCTCATTCATTCATTTTCTTTTCGGCTTAGTGCCTTTAATAATCTGGTGTCGCCACAGCCGAATGAACCACCAACTCATCCAGCACATGTTCTACGCAGCAGATGCCCTTCCAGCTGCAACCCATCTCTGGGAAACATCCAAACACACTCATTCATACTCATACACTACGGACAATTTAGTCTACTCAATTCACCTGTATCGCATGTCTTTAGACTGAGGAGGAAACGGGATCACCTGGAGGAAACCCACGTGAAATGCCTACTGACCCAGCCGAGGCATAAACCAGCGACCTTTTTGCTGTGAGGCGACAGCAATACCTACTGCGCCCCTGTGTCGCCATAAACATTATCTAAATACATTTAATTTTGTATTATTATTTACATAGATTGTCATGTATTTTACTATATTAGGATTATCGGTCACACTTTACAATAAGGTTCATTAGTTAATGTTAATTAATGCATTTACTAACATGAACAAACAATGAGCAATACATTAACTACTGTATTTGTTCATGCTAGTTAACGTAAGTTAATGAAACAACAGTAGTTCATTGTTAGTTCATGTTAACTCATGGTGCATTAACTAATATTAACAATCATGGACTTGGATGTTAATAATGCATTAGTAAATGTTCAATTATAATTAATAAATGCTGTACATGTGTTGTTCATGATTAGTTCATGTTAGTAAATGCATTAACTAATGAACCTTATTGTAAAGTGATACCGGATTATCAGTTATATCTGCGTGAGGGATTGCCATGAATGCTTTATGAATTCCTCATTGGTATGTCATTGCTAGCGGTTGAAAGTGGACAAGCTAAAAAATTTTTGTCTGTCCACACTTGTTTAGTGTTGTTCACTTGTGATTTGATCACTAAAAATGCATCTTAATATCAGTTGTAAACAGTCCCCCAGGTGCTGTCAAAACACATGTATTGCTTTCATAGTTTAAATGGCTTGGGTAAGTCCAAATAGCCACAAAAGAACACTTCTTCTCTCCCTACTCAACTTATTAAACATTATAGGATGGTGGAATTGAAAAAAGGAAGTCCTGGTTCCGACACAAACCCCCACATGTAGTTTTATAGATTTGACCGAAATTAAAGCTGCTGTTCTACATAACATTTTCTGTAATCCATAGAGTCTTTCTTTCTAAAGTTGATTAAAGAGATAGGTTAAAACACCAGGGGTAAACAGGAATGTGTCTTCCTCATCTAATTGATCCAATTTCGACTGACTGAAATGCATATTAAATTACCAGGTTTAAACCAACCCAGTAAAACTACTAAGTTGTGTAACCCAATCATACAGTAATTTTGGGTTATTTTTAATAAAAAATGTCCTGTGAATCAAAGCATGTTTTACTCTATGTGCAGGTGGCCTCTACTGATGCCGATGTTGGAGCCTGACTATGTTGCTAAGAGGATTGTCAGTGCCATTCTGACCGACCAAGTTTTCGTTTTACTGCCAAGGTCCTTATACTTCTTAATGGCTTTAAAAGGGTGAGTACACTCAAAGTATATCAAACTTGGAATAAATAAATGTCTCTTAGTATTTGATGCATTTTTTTACCAGTAATTTTTTTCTATACTAGTTTTATATCTATACTACAAATATTATTCTGTAGAAATGTCATATTTAAATGTTTTGTTGTTATTCATGTCTTTCATACTTCCTTATGTCTTCAAAACGAGTTACAAAGCCTTTTTAAGCAACTGCAATCATGATAGAAATGTTTAATGTTCATAGTCCAAACTTGTAGTGCTCCAAAAAAGCATTTCTATTAGGTTTTCTGTTATAATAAATGCTTTTTAAAAGTAGCAGGGTTTTCTGAAAATATTAAGCAGCACATTCATTTTCAACATTGATATTAATAAGAAATGTTTTATGGATATAGAATTTTTTATGATTTCTAAGAGCTTATGTCACTCGAGACTAGACTAATCATGATTGAAATTCAAAAGCAATTGAGTAAAAATCGCAAAGGTTAATTGTTGTTTCTAATATTTTTTAAATTATGAAATAAATCTAATATAATGTACAATTTTTCCTTTTTTTTTTCTTGAGATTCCATAATAGTGGAGAAAACATTCTGCAGCCTTGTTTACACAATGTGTAAATGGTTTCTTCATGCAAAATCGATTTGAGGATTGAAATTAAATTTAGCTGCTTTATTTTAGAAGTTTATTTTAAAAGGCGGGTCATTTTTGACCTGAAGGGTGAACAGTGTTAAAAGGAGGGTTAAAGTTTTACCCCTTGAAGTTACATTTTGTACTAAGACTGACAGAAAATAAATAGCATATATTGCTGACATCTCTATATACTGGGTTTCCCTTATGTTTATGAAGAGGCGGAGACCTACAAATTAATTGGTTTGTATACTCAAGTTCATCCCCAGATCCACTAGTACATGCAGCAAAGTAGGGCTGTGCCATATTGTAGAAAATAAATAGTATGCTAAGTAATGCGATGTTTAAAATGCAATACGAAATTTTAGAAAATGATAAAATAATAGATCATATTATGTCATGGAGAAGAAAACAGCCTTACAATTCAAAAGCAATGTTTAATTGTTGCATAAAACACATTTTAACAATGTAAACAAGCTAAAAACGTCAATATCACTGCTACTTTGCTCCACTAGTTACATCCACCTAAAACATTGACCAAGAACAATCAATTAACTCAAAAGCTGAGTACAGTTTCTTCTTTGCTCTCGTTTTGCTTTCAACCATACAGAAATTGTTACTAATGTTTTATTTTTGTTCAGAAATGCAGCATGTCCACTCTGCTTTTTTTTAGTAATATATTGTGAAGCCCTACGGCACAGTTATTTTGGAAGTTAAACATGTAAGTTAGTAGAGTAAGTCAGTGTACAAGTTCACTATAGTATATTGATGTCAAAAGAAATCTGCTGCATTGTGAAAGAGGGGGAGGGTGTTGAGTCTGAGAAGTGTCTGAAGGGTAACTAAAGGTCTGAGAGTTCAGCTTTAAGCAGTGACACATAATGACACTGTTTCTGGTGCGCTGATCTTAGAGGACAGGACAGGTGTGTGGATTTACTCATCTGCCCAGGGACATTATAACACTGAATGAATAACAGGAACACTGATTCATTGTGTTCTCGGACTGACTTCACCTTTGCTTATAGCTAATGATATTCTTAGCTATGTGTTCTTTAGCAACTTATTTAATTTAATTATGTCTTAAATTTATTTTACTATTTCTGGGTCATTCTTAACCCAAGCTTAGTGATTTAATCCGTTTTTTTTTTTAGATAATTAGGTTTAAAAAAAGTCATAAAACAACTTGCCTCATAGCCTAATAATATAGACCGAAATATATATTTGTTTATTTTTTCCCCATTTTCTGTTTAACGGAGAGAAGATTTTTTTTTAAACACATTTTTAATCATAATAGTGTTAATAACTCATTTCTAATAACTGATTTATTTTATCTTTGCCATGATGACAGTAAATAATATTTGACTAGATATTTTTCAAGACACTTCTATACAGTTTAAAGTGACATTTAAAGGCTTAACTAGGTTAATATGGTTAACTAGGCTGGTTAGGGTAGTTAGGCAAGTTATTGTATAACTTGGGTTTGTTCTGTAGACTATTAAAATAAAATATAGCTTAAAGGGGCTATTAATTTTGACCTTAAAATGGCTTTTAAAAAATGTAAAACTGCTTTTATTCTATCCAAAATAAAACAAGACTTTCTCCAGAAGAAAAAAAATATTATCAGACTTAAGTTTTTTTTGTGCAGGATGTTTTCTAGAGCTAATCATAGCAAATAATTAACATTATTAAGACAAAAAATCACGCTCATAGTTACGATTATGATGCATTCCATCTTGTTGGGTGGGTTGCATCAGATTTGCAGTCTTTTACTTCTTATTTGGCAGAAAGTAGAAAGTCAGCTTTAGGCAATCTCTGCTTATTCACTATGATGAACTCATTTACTAAATTACAGTGTGAAACATTGCTTTACCTGAGGGTAAACGCATAAGAGTGGTGCTTGGAGTGAAGCGCTGTGTGTAAATCTCTTTTTGAGGAATTTTTCTTTTTAGTATCGCTTACTTGGTTGATATTTAGATAAACACACTTTAGATTTCATTTGATTTCTGCCAGCCTGCAGTTCTTGATTTCCTCCATCCTAATTAAAGCATTTCAGTTTTGAAACACCTACGTTTTGTTATGGCTGTACTTTGTGCCCACAGTACTTTGGCCCCTTCCAACCACGAGAATGGATTGTTTTAAGAATTCCAAAGAGTGGTATCCTGTTTTAGTGTGGAAACCCTGATGTTGTGTTTCAGTGTAGACAGACAAAAATGCAAAAATTGACTGCTGACAGGCCAGTCAATTACCTGTATACTCCTAATCTGAAGCCAGGACTATGTAATGTGTGCAGAATGTGGTTTTGCATTGTCTTGTTAAAATATGCATGCAAGTCCCTGGAAAAGAAGTCATCTTAAAGGCAGCATATAGTGGTCCTAAACCTCTATGTACTTGTCAGCATTAATGGTGCTAACACAGAAATGTAAGTTACCTTTGCCAAGGACACTGACACGAGCAGATACCATGACAGACCCTGGATTTTGAATTTGTTGCTCGTATCTGTCTGGAAGATCCTTTTTGTTTTGTCTTTTCGGAGCACACAGCGTTGATTTCTCCCAAAAAATACCTAAAAATACTGATTCATCTGGCCACATGTTTCTACTGTGTGATGTCCCTCCCAGATGCCTCCGAGCCTGAAGAAGTCAGTGATGTTTCTGGACGCTGGTAACCAAAGTAACCAAGTAGTGGTTTGCCAATGCAGTCCTGAGCCCATGTGGTAATATTGCTTATAGATGAATGATGATTTTTGATGCTGTACCACCTGAAGGATCTGAGATCATGCTAGTTCAGCTTGGGTTTGTGCCTATCCTTTATGCACTAAAATTCCTCCAGATTCCTTGAATCTTTTTAATTATGTTATGCACTTTTGAAGATAAAATATCCAAATATCTTTCTTTGAGAAACATTATAGATTTAGATTTTAGCTGCCAGTGGGTCAATGTAAATACAGACTATGGACTTGAAAATTCAGACGACTAACTATTTTATTGAGCAAAAACTCCAAAAACAGTTGAGGAGATCTCCTAGCTTCTCACTCTGCTCTTTTCACAGACACACACACACATATTGCACACACACACACTTAACCCTGCTCCGGACAACAACGCGCGCGCGCGCACACACACACACACACAAAGACACACACCTCCGGACGACAGCGCGCGCACACGCACACACAGACACACACACTACTCCTTGTCCACGGAACTCCGTTAACAAAGCAGCACGCGTCACGTTTTTAACGTGACTTTGCACGCGATAAGAGAATATAGCCAGTTAACCTGATACAGTACACGCGGTTACAAGTAACAAATCACAACTAAATACATTTGCAAGCTAGAGTCAACGAGGCAACTTTAATCGCAAGTACTTACACTTGAGAAATGGAGGAAGAAAAATCAATCCTGACGTCCATCAGTAAGTTACTCTTTACTGATCCTTCCTTTAACAAACGCTGATGAAGTATTCTTTGTATCATGAAGTTTCCAGTAGTTTCCAACTGCTTGGTTATAATGCTGAGGTTTCATCTTTGGGTAGAGACTCAATATATCCATCTGCAGTGTGACTTCAATCGACCGGCATGTTTGTGTGTGTGTGTGTGTGTTTGTGGGTGTGTGTGTGTGTGTCTGGGTTTCTGCGTCAGAGGGCGGGGCCTCAGGTTTGAAATCTCCCGGGTTTGCACGTGCACGTGAATAACTTGGTTTTGTTCGTACGTCATGGCGAAACACCTAATGAATCGGTATCAAGGCGACTCGTTTAAAGCACTATGAGTCGACTCTTTTATAGATGAATCAACAGTTTTAAACACTGTACACTAACAGATTTAAGCCTTAGCTGGATACTTCACTTCACTTAGAGCTGTGTTACACACTACATGGAGGGGAATTTTCAAAAACCCATAATATGGGCTCTTTAAACATTTCAATAATTTTCTTATCTATTTGTTGGCAAACTGGCGATCTTTTGCCAATTTTTGCTCCTAAAGCACTAGACCTTTCTTGGATTCTGCTTTTGTACCAAAAAATAACTACAATCGCCTGTTGACATCACCTGTTTCAAATCACATCATTATTTAAATGATTTACCTGATTACTAGCCCTAAGTTGTCCCCATTTTTTTGGAATGTGTTGCAGGTCTGAATGACAGTAAAGGATGTATATTTACAAATGAAATGAAGTTAATCTGACAAAACATGAGTTCAAGTTCAATTTATATAGCACGTTTCCAACTGCCACAGGGCCGCACATAGTGCTTTACAAAGAAAATACAAACAAACAGTATCGGCATAATAAAAAATAACAGCAGGCACATAAATTTAAGAGAGCATAAAAGGTGTAACAAAAAAAAAAACTGAAGAAATTTAAATATATTACCACAATTGACCACATTGACAGGATTAAAAACAAGAACAATAACTTTAATTTAGACTTAAAAATTGGCTGTGGCAGTCTTTTTTTAACGGCAGCACGTTTCAGAGTCGAGGACCTGCTATGGCAAATGCACGTTCACTTTTAAGGCGGGCCTTAGGGATTTTTAATAAAAACTTATCAGCGGAACGCAAGTGTCTGGGTGGAGTTTAGACAACAATCATTCATTCATTTTCTTGTCGGCTTAGTCCCTTTATTAATCCTGGGTTGCCACAGCGGAATGAACCGCCAACTTATCCAGCAGTTTTTTTTACGCAGCGGATGCCCTTTCAGCTGCAACCCACCTCTGGGAAACATCCACACACATCCACACACACACACTCATACACTACGGACAATTTAGCCTACCCAATTCACCTGTACCGCATGTCTTTGGACTGTGGGGGAAACCGGAGTTAGACAATAATCAGTTGGGATAAATAATGGGGGCCCAGATCATGTAGGGCTTTATACACAAAGAGACGGGTTTTTAATTTGATTCTTTGTGTCACAGATAGCCAATAAAGAGACCTCAAAATAGGAGTGATGTGCATATTTCGGGCTTTTTGTTCAAATCTAGTTGCTGTAGGCGATCTGAGACTTAGGCAGCCCAAAATATAGAGAGTAACAATAGTCTAACCGGGAGGTTATAAGCACATGTATGGCTATTTCTAGAGAATGTGAAGAAAGAGAAGACTTTAGAAGTATAAACTTTTTCCAACCACATTTGAAAAATGTTTATCAAATTTTATACATTAAATTCATGAAATGAACATGAAATATTTTGTGTTCATATCGTCTGCAGTAAAATACAAGTTAAAGTAAATTTGGAAATCACTTTCTTTTTTTTATTTGCATTTTCCATTATGTCGCAACTTAACTACAATAAAGGAAATGGTCTGCAACAGAAAACACAAAATTAGATACCCTGCCAAAAAAAATAGGCTACTTTTAAAATGTATTAAACAAAGGTAGGTCTATTTGAGTCTTTTCAATATTCCTGACAAGCATCTTCACAGGGACATTTCCAAATGCGGTCTTAAGTATTTAAAAGCATCAAAAAGCATCAAAAGCTCCATTTTCATTGGTTGTATTGTGGACACCAGGCATAATCGTAATATAACGTGTACATTTTAAAGAAGAAAATGCACTTGTGTAAACAGCGCCTAAGGAGAAACGCACGGTTTCGTATTAATACAACAACACATGGCACAGGTTGTAGAACTTTCTGTTTCATCTGTACTGCTGCCTGTTTCATAACAACTTTAACCCGGCTGCGGTTTGAACACGAAGGACCCTTAAGAAGCTCTTACTTATGCAGCTGCGACAATTACTGATACCATTAGTGACAAACCCGCAAGATAAAGCAGCACCTGTTTGTGTGGGCCATGAGACAGACTTCATTGCATAAAATTGGCCAATTAATTCCAATCTGTGTTCAGTCTTGAATGTGTTTTGGACAGTACAGTCGTAATTATGAAGGCTGCAGTATTTGAAAGAGGAAAAACGCACTCTTTATTATTTTAATGTCCTCTGTGTCTTTTCACAGAAACGTGTCAGAGTCTAATCCCATCAATTAAATAATTAAATCACATATTAGACGTGTTACTATTCCTCTAGAATGACGCCAGGAGTGTTGAGTCTCTGTCCATTAGGGTATAATTAGGTGCGAATGAGCTCGTTTTCAGGCTTGGTCGTTATTTTCAGTCCTGTACATTGTCCTTTCACTCTTTTTCTGGCTGCTATGCTGCAATTTAAAATGATTATATCACTGCATGCTCTCTTTGTATATAGGAGATGTGTAATGATACAAAAACAAAAGAGAGTTAAACAGTTTTTGTTCCAATGAGCTATTTGTAGAATAATGCATGGATATGATTTTAATAATGTAATATTTAAAATTGTATTTAAAATGTAATATTTTAATAACACGTTCACTGATCCTCATGCAAATGAACATTTTCTTCTTCACAGTGTCATCCCATACAAACAATCAGTCATCCTGGGTATGTACTTCGGGGCCTTCAACTTCATGGACGCTTTCAAAGGAAGGGAAAAGAAGAGAGACTAATTCTAATTTTGATACTTAAATGTCTTAACACACATGAATTTTTTTTGTAACTACCTCTGCCACACATTCCAGAGCCTCTTAAAAATAAATCATATTAAAAACTGTCCAAGTCTGATTTACTTACTGGTGTTATATTTTATCATTTTATTTCGATGGTCCACTTGAGTATTAGTAGACTGTCTGCTTAATATCTGTTGATACTGCTCCTTCAACACACATTTAACTGACTATAAGAAACTTTGCAAGTACATGTCAACTAACACTAACCCAAACCCCAGCCATTTCCCCAACCTAGTCTACTTATGATCTAATGAGAATTAGTTGCAATGTAACTTAAATTCAACAAACTGACCATCAAAATAAAGTGTGACCTTATATTGGTGAAAGAGGCTTTTTTGTAATGAAATAAGATTGTTAATGAAATGCTAGATTTCATAGTGTTCATAGACATGGCTGTGACTTAATTTGTGTGTCATTTCAAATGCAGTGCTTGACAATATCAGAAATGACAATGTCAGATGTGCAATAGTGGACTGAATAATCGTGTTTATTATGATATGTGAAGTAATTACTTATCCATTTGTTCCAGCAGTTGTTGACCTGTTAGTTATTATTTGTATTTGAACCTGTCAAAAGGAAGAGTATACTGATTAATCTAATGAGAATGTAATTATGTGGCTGGTATGGTTCTGTTCTGTGCTTTGACTAATTGCTTTTTATTCTCACACAATGATCAACTCTCCTTTTTTATAGATCTGATATCACACTTAAATGCTGATGGCACCATCTAGTGTTGTAGTGTTTTTTTTTTTTTTTTTGTGATGTTATAGCTGCCTTTCATTTATTTTTAATGTTTTTTTTTTTTTTTTGTGCAGGAACTTGCATTCCATTAATGTTTGAAGGTTTAAGTTGTGTTGAAACGTTTTAATCATTTATTTGGAAAAGATATGTTAGACTTTTTTACACCCTATAATTCAGTATTTTTTATTTTAAATGAATGAAATTTTATCTTGAAATATTAATTCATTCATTTTCTTTTCAGCTTAGTCCCTTTATTATTCAGGAGTTTCCACAGCGGAATGGACCGTCAACTTATCCAGCATATGTTTTATGCAGTGGTTGCCCTTCCAACTGCAACTAATCAGTGGGAAAAATCTATGCACACTTATTCACACACTATAGACAATTTGTAGCTTACCCAATATGGAGCCAATAATATGCCAAAACAATCTAAATTTGAATAGTGTTCAATTGAATTGTAATTTAATAAATCTGAATTTTTATATGCCATATATAAAATAAAGTTTTGAATTTGACTTTCATGAATATTGAATATCTGAAATTTAAGAAAACTGACATTTTTATAACGTATTTTCAAACATCAGATCTTTAGTGTTCTGAATTCATAATTCATCTAGTTTGCAAAAAATAGTTTCAAATGTTCAAGATTAAGAAATTCACAACATCAAATTCAGTATCCTAAAATCGTGGTATTCAGCTTCAGCAGAAAGTAGGTTAGGCGTTACTAACAGGAAAGAGTAGACAATCACCGAAAAGTCAAACTAAGAATCACTCGCCTCTGCTTGAGGGTGGGGGATTGGGAAATAGCTTAAAAATAGATAAAAAATTATCTACATATAGCCTTATATAAAATTTTTAAGTATAGGGAGGGCAGCTTTCAGTTTCAGTTCATTTAAAGCAAACATTGTTGAAAATTCATCAAGTGGCTTTCCCTGTACACACCATTCACAACAATATAGACTTTTTAAAACACCTCTTATGTTGTTACTATTTGAAACAAACTTTTAAGCACTTAACAAATGAGGTTAACGAGAAATCTCTGAGCGAGTCATTCATGGTGAGTCATAAATGAGCCGATTTGAACGAATCTGAATTTACAATTCAGTGACAGAGATTTGGCGCCACCCTTATAGGACATTTAATTTCAATGTATTTTAGCCCAAAATAATGCAATTTTAAAAATATGGAAAAATCTGATCCTTCAAATAAATATAAATGTAAGGTTAAATATGACATTTTAGATGTGAATAGATGATATTTAAAAGAGACAGCATTTAAGAGTTTATAATAGGCTTTGGGCAAACGTATTATTACAATTTTTCTTAAAATACTATACTATATGCTATGCTGTACTATAGAATATTGTAACAAATAGCATCTTATACAGTTTGATGAAGAAGTGTGCGCATGCAAATATGTCATTTACTACAGTTGTAAAATGCTTGGACAATTTGAAAACGCACTTGGAAAGAGCTTGAAAAGCCCTTAAATGTGACTTTGGTAAAGGTGTAAGAGAACTCTGTCTGCTGAAATAACCCACCAGAGGTTACAGTATAGGTCAGAATCAGCTATTAATCCCACAAAACACCAAAAATGTAAATAAAATTAACCAATGAGATGTTATTGAATTTAATATTTGAATTTGGTTCACCGAAGCATGTATATATTACACAAACTAAAAATAGCTGAGCCCTGATAGTTTGCAAAAGAATTGTGTCCTCCTGAGCCACACCAGTAAACTCGCGCAGCTCTGTGATTGGCCAAAATGCTTAGTTAGATTTTTCGGTGATCGTCCAGTCTTCCCTGTTGATCAACCCTGACCTACTTTCTGCTGAATCTGAATTTCATATCTGAATTTTTGGCTTTCAATCCTAAAACATTGAATTTGATGTTCTGAATTTCTTCATCTTGAACATTTGAAAAAATATTTTCAAACTGGATAAGACTTCAGAATTCAGAACTCACACAAAAAACATTTGAAATTACGTCTACAAAAACTTCAGCCTTAAAAAATTCAGTTGTCTTAAATTTCAGATATTCAATATTCATTAAAATTTTTCGATTTCCATGTAACGCTACATCTAATGTAGAGATCTTCGCGGGACTAAATTTTGAATCCCGCTCCCGCCCGCACCCGCCAGGTTTTAGCCGGAACCCGACCGGTCCCGCTTATATTAAGCACTTGATGTCCCGCTGCCCGACCCGCCCCGTTTTCTATCCGCCTCGCCCGATCCCGCTAAAGAGCGGGGGAGAACAAAACCGAAAATCACCCAGTTATACAGTCCAGACAGCCTATAACAGTATAAACTGACACACGCACAGCACCAAGCACACACACAAAGACAAAGCTTTCTCTCTCATTCGCGCACGCGCGCCCTCTAACACACACTCATAAGCACCAAGCACAAACACAGGCAAAGCTCGCGCACACACACACAAACGCACGCACGCACGCACGCACGCACGCACGCACGCACGCACGCACGCACGCACACACACACACACACACACACACACACACACACACCCACACCCACCTACCTCTCATTCGCGCGTGCGCATACATACACACGCACACTGCAACAAACAAGCTAAACACAGCATCGTGCTATTTCATTTACACACATACATACGCATGCTCACTCGGGAGTCGGGAGCGATATTGCTAGACAGCCCGCTCCCGTCCCAAATTAAACCCGTTACCGACCGCTCCCGTGATTTATTCGGAAATTTATACCCGCGCCGTAGAAATCTGGTCGGGTCCCGCGGCGCCCGCGGGACAGCCACGGGAATGCAGACCTCTAATCTAATGGTCATTTAAATTCTTTTTTGTTGTTGTTGCTTGGTTTTCATGGTGTTGTAGTTCTTTATTTCACTAGTCCAATTGTAATTTGCGGTATTATAACCACAAGTGAGGTCAGCTTGCAATAGCCAATCATCTTTCTGTTATTGGAGAATGTGACGTCATCGCTGTGTTTGCGGAGGTTCGCTGGGATTGCGCGCCACATGATTTCGGCTGGCGGAGTATGGCGTTATTTTACTGACAAATGTCGTAAGCGCAGTATTACAAGAGCGAATCTCTTTGCTCATGCGACGGTTTCCCTGTTCGTGGACAAAACTGCACGCAAGCTCTCAAAACACTGGCAGCTCACGTGCGAAGGATCTGCTCTCGCTCTGTCGGACGATGCGGACTCACAATTTTTGTGTCTTGTGTTTCCTCCATAACACTGCTGGGATGCACTCGCTCGTATTACATGAATGTGCTCTTGACCTGTAATACTGCGCTCACGACATTTGTCAGTGAAATAACGCCATAGTGGAGCTATATGGAATGACATTTTTGAGACTCGGGTGAACAGTTCATGCGGTGCCGCATTTGATTTAAGTTGAATATAAAACAGTTTGATGATATTTTGTCTGAAACGGGTACGTCTGTACCGACATCCATCCATGCGTGATCATAGGGAGAACCAGATGACCAATAATTCTTGGCTAGAAATTGCAATAGCAGTGGGATAGGAGGAAAGTTTTTGTAAAAGTTTGGAAAAGCCTGAGGGATAAGTTTTTTAAAACAAACAAACAAACAAACAAATTAAAAAAGCATAAATCAGCATTAAGATGTTTGTTTGTTTGTTTGTTTGTTTGTTTGTTTGTTTGTTTGTTTGTTTTTTCTGTATTTCAATGGTGCATCTAACCTGTCTTTAGTACTGTTCAATTTAAATAAATTTATTTTACCACTAATTTTGTGATTTTGCATTTTCTCTCGCGTGTTTTTGAAATTGCGATATAGGTCTTAAATTTAATTTTTAATGGTCTTAAAAAGTCTTAAATTTGGATTTACGATATCTCCAGAAACCCTGATAAAAATTCAGATTTATTAAAATACTAATTAAATTAAAACTGTTCAAATCAAAAAATTTTTGGCATCGTATTAGCTCCAATTGACCAAAAGCCCATGTCTTAGGACTTGTGGGGGAACTGTAGTACCCCTTTTAAATATCACAGTGACAAATATATTAATCACATTTTTATTTATGCAGACAGATTCTGAGATAGTGAACCGTATAGCATTTTAATACAGTGTCCAATTTGCAGTCTTACAGTAATGCAGGGACTTGGAAAAAAATTCAGTGTAAGGCACTCTTGCTTAAAGTGATTGACACGTCTCTGGTTTGACCCTTTCACACAAATGGGAGCAGAGATTTGAATTGGTTGGCAGGGCTGCATTTGAGATTTTGGCTAGAGAGCAGAACACGAGTTCTGCAGGGAGGAAGAAATAGATTTTCAATTTATTGTTTGCCAT